GGATTTTGCTTGACTGCGGAGGAAGATTTTACCATGTGACTCACTTATCTGATTCATCAGATCGGCTTGCCGTAACATTACAAATGTCAGACCAAGTTTTTTCATAACAATGAATTCTCTCCATAATTGCATCAACTACGTCTACATCGGGATTATCAGTGTAATGACTTTCACCTAGAACAGTAGCTATTCATGCTCTAATTTCTTCATTATTAAACTGTTTGAATTGTAAGGGTGTTTTTAATTGTTCAATTTCATTTAATAATTCTTTGTTTCTTTGTTCGAGTTCTGTTATTACGTTTACCATACTAATACTTTCTTTTTTTATTTTATTTATTTTTTAATATACTTATATCCTTTTTATGAGGGCATATTAAGTATATATATTATTTTAATATTTCTATTAAGTCATCCACTTTACTATCTATCTCCCTGAGTATTGTGGATTCTGTGTCAGCACTTGGGGATCTGTGAAACGTTTTTGAATGTTCTTTGCCTCCATTGATAATGTGGACTGTGGACACTGAAAGTTGTATTAATATTAACTCAAGTTGCACAGAGTGATGCTCTCTGACTGATATTGTTAGGCCTTTGGCATAAAGAAGTTGCATGATTAGATGGGTAAATCAATGTCAGGTTGATTTGATGGGTGTCTGCAACCTAAAGATTGGTACTGTAACAGAGATAGAAAGTTTTTATACCTCCCAAAGTCATATTTTCACAATGCTCCACTACTTGGTTTTATAGTGATGCAAAGAATTTGGGTAATAGGTAATGTGCAAGTTATAGTAATGTCTTTTGAATAGCATAATAATTCCTGCATCCATTGGTTGAATTTTTGAAGTGGTGTTTGGTGGGCATCAGTGTTTGAGATAACCAAACCATCTGTTTTGTGACTTGGGCAATACCTGCTTTGAATCCTGTATCCTGTAATTTCAATCTCCCTATTTATTGTTGATCTTTTTGTAGGCTACCAAAACAAATTCCAATTTATCTGAAAGTTCTTGTAATAGTTTTCCAGTATTTTGCTGGTTTCCATATTTCAAGTGATTTCTTTGTTGAATTCTCCCAATCTTGGAAAATGTAGTTAACATCCAAACCTTTGAATTGTTGCAATATGTCATTGGTAAATTACTGAGATTATTAACATTAGTAATAGCAAAGCATTATGGCTTCCCAATAATTAATGGGCTTAACATGTTAATGTGGGATCCATCAGCATTTATGCACAAAGCAACACTAAGTCTTTCTTTATCTTTCTTATAGCTGAAAACCTCTGTCTGTCTGGCTCTAATCTGTAGAATATACCAGCCGCATCCATATTATACACGAACTTAGTGGAAAGATTATTTTCAATTTCTGTAATCCCCGTACCGTTTTCTCCAATTGTCAAATTCTCGGCAAAAATAATGACAAATCAATCGTCATCTACATCAGCGTGTATATCATATTTTCCATCAATTCGAAATGGAATCGGTTCACTTCCTCAAGAAAGTCATCCCAAGCAGTACATTTGTCGGCGGGTCACCATTGACTTTCGTAAACTAATAATAACAATCCATTTGTACCGAGATCTGGTTGTTGATAGTACAACGCATATCCCTTTGGCTTTAGGACTTCCACTACCAAATAATAGTACAGGATCACCGTATCATCTTTCAGTCTTCTATCTTCACGGGTTTGAGCGTATTGTTATTGTAAATTTCCCGACTGCTTAAAAACGCTTCTCTCGACGTATGCTCATCAATATTATTGAAAGAAGCAAGTAGCTTTAGTCTACATGCAACTGAGAACGCACCCGAAGTTCTCAAACCAACTATAAACAACGCCAAACTACAAGCATCTATTATTATTATATTTCTCACGTGCAGATATACTCGACCAGTTATTATGGGAGGCATTTATTTCATCGACAATCATTTCACCGACAGTACACTTCGCCGACAGTCATTTCATGTGACACATTGTTTATCGTACTTATCATTGGTTTTCGATGAAATTTATGTCGGTGAAACGTACTGTCGGTGAAATGAATGAACCGGACCCATTATTATAGCTAGTTCAACCAATAAAGCTTTTTGTGAATGTTGATGCACACGGTAAGTGACGTCACTTTATCATTTTATGAAACTATGCTAACGTTATTCAGACGCCTTGATGTTCTTGAGGCACATGATATCCCAATGTGTGAATCATAATAATAGAAGAGTTCATATTCAATAGTCGACTACTTTAATTTTTACTTTATATGTATCATATTAGAATAATTGGATCACAAGCGATATCATACTTAAGCATTGCTTTATCATCAATAAAAGACTGTCAATTCTAACAAATGTTCTATTGTAATATGGAAATAATGTTACAGAATGAAGATGAAGACTACGTATGAGTATGTAAGTGATAAAGTACAATTTGTGTACGAGTTAATTAACCAAGCCATACTAATCGTACAATAAACAAGCTTTTTCTTTCCGACTTTTTGCGATGTCTAGTGACAATGACAAATGAAATAAAGCTGTCAGCATTACAACTCATTCATGCGCAAATGTATTCAACGAGAACTCATGTATTTGATGAGAACGCGCTTAGTTTATTTCATTTACGCGAATATACATACATCAATACATGAATATGTAGCTGTCCAGCTTTCCTCTACATCCAATAAGTGAAGCACTATGTTTTTACAGATCTAGCCTATCGGCCATGTTACAAACGAGATGTCAGTGAATAACCAATTTACGATCGAGTTTTAACTGTACTAACATCATATCTGCAAGTTTGGACTTATTCTTCTACGGATCTTATAGAATAGAACACTTTTCGGATTTGTTAAATCTCGTGATTGTAACTCTCGAGTAATACAGTATATATAACCGGTTTCCAGAAAGTAATGTTTGTTATTTCGGAATAAACCTCGATTTGTATGGTTAAAAAAGTAAACTAGTAATATTATTGTAATATCGAGAGTACGGTTTTCATCGGTCAAATACGATGGTGAAGAAAAGATTTTTTTATCGAGATCTTTATTAAACCACATTCAACATGCATACGAAGTAATACTCACCAAACGTTCTAATTATTAATATTTCACACAACCCATCCGAGTTGTTAATCCACACGGATGAGTATCATGGTCTTCTTATCATTTCATTGTTTCTCATACTAGACATACCAATCGATCGTGCATACAATTATTGCTACGCGTCGTGTTGTATGTTTCAATTTGTTGCTAACATTCATAATCGACCGTGTTACAAGATCGAATGCAATAATGTTTGCAAAACATAGTACAAGCTGTCACAGTTTCATATTGCAAGTACTATATCTAAAAAAAGACAAAAATTCATTATTGTTGTTGTTTTGAATTAGCTTTGTACAGTTCTTAGCGAGATGTTTGGCTGCAATTTCAAATACTAATTATTAAAATGGGGGATCGACGTATGATAGATTGATTGGTTGATCATTCATAATTTATGGACATCCACATGTTTCTTTTTTTGAATGCATGACATCATATTGCATAAACCACATATAAATTTCGAAAATGGAAGTTATAGAAAACCTTATCAAGCTGTAAATTATTGTTCAGAGATAGATTCGGACTAAGCGTACCATTGATATTACTAAGAAAAAAAGTCATCTTTGAAAAGAACAAAGTGACCGTTTACCTGAACTATTTGCAACTGTAAGATATGGAAGAGCTTCCGGACTATTATGAGGTTCTCGGAATAAAGCAGACGGCGACGTCTAGGTACAATGGATTTTTTCAAAACACACATGTCCGTCCAGACATGTGGCTTTTTATTTTTCTGTCTATATATCTTCATTCACACCTTTTTCTCATTATCGTCTTGCCCCCTTCTCTACTGTCTTTTTTGCCTACAACAAAAGCGAAATCCGAGATGCCTACAAATTGCGCGCGTTGGAAACCCATCCAGATAGATATCCGATAATAGATTCATCTGTCACAAGAGAAGAGGCAACAAAGGCCTTTCAGAAAGTGGCAGATGCGTATTATGTCTTGAGCAATCCACAACAAAAGGAAAAATATGGTATGGGTTATAGAAGAGAATAATAGAAAAGCTTAATACCGTGTATGGACTGCACTCCGGGCGTACCCTTCCTTTATATTATTACAGCACGACACCCTAACTTCTAACTCTTAACGCCTTGACTCTGGTGTTGTATAAGTTCTTGATGTATATTATCTATCTTCCCGTCTTAAAGTTTTTGTCCGTAACTCATATTCAACCTCCATCTCTTTACAAGACGACGTTTATAAAAAGCGAAATTCCGCGCGTTCGTCCGCCGGACTGTCTTCATGCCCTACCTCATTCTCAACATCAGGCACACCCCCCGTCTCTACCTTATCTGTATTTTATTCAACATTTACATCACCGGATCCGGACGCCCTCTTTGGTAACATATTCGAAGAACTATTACGGCCAGAAGTTGACACTCCACATTGGTTTTATTCTCCAATAGGAACAATAGCTGGCGGTATTTTAGGATTTATTATCGGAAATTTACCGGGTTTGATACTTGGAGCCTATTTGGGTGGAAGACTAGGCAGCATAAGAGATGCTAAAGGTAAGAAGAGAGGGTTGTGTGTGACTGGGAAGGAGTCGAGCAATAAAATGGGAAAAGCTGGAATTTGGATATGGGGATATTAAGAAGAGAAGAGGAGGAGAAAAGTCCGAGATCAGAAAGTCTAACCAACAAGCAGGCATTGGCAAAGCAATCATGGAATCGCAGTATGATAAACTCGTTGCAAATTGTTGCGATCTAACAGTTTCGATCTAACAGGTTCAATGGACTTTTGCACATATAATTTGGCATCACCGTTGAACGGTGTCTTGTTTTTTACTCGTTCGAATTTTGATGCTGTATGGAATAAAAGTTGTAATCCGTACAGTTTACAAGAGGTTCACTTCCCCGAGACAATCATTTCATGCATCATGCATGGAGTGATTGTGTAAGGCGATTGTCAGCTGAACGAATGGATCGACTTTGGGACTTGCTAGGGAAAATAGATTTCCTTATATGTCGAAAGAAAACTCAAAATTTTCTATCCTTATACTTATCACGTATAGATATCAGCGTTAGGATACATATTCTTGATCCATATATTTCTGTATTATAGTCAGAAAGTGCTCATCTGAAAACCAATTGCCGAGTCGGAGGGATGGTACTTGCGGGCCGTCTGTATCCTGTTGTAGTAACGACACGAACGACTGCCGGCAATTATTGACAAAATCATAAAGGATCTTGCTGATATCAACACGGATACAACTCCTTCTTCTTAACTGTTTAATAAGCATACTCTATTCTATAGCTTAATTAATTAAAATCTCACTTGTTGGATTATATTCTGATTATTGGTCTTTTCCTTCCCTTCCCCTTCACCCCTCCCCCCTCCCTCCCCTCATTACGCCATTCTAAATAGGAATGTCGGTATATGCAGCATATCAAAAGCTGAATAATAATACGAAAGCAGCAATTTTAGCAGCCATTGCGGCTAAAGTGATTAGGTGATGGGAAAAGTCGGGGACATTAAAGTCAAAGCGAGAGTGGGAAGGCTTGGGAGATAGAAAACTTTCCGAATTAGGTTGTTTGGGTTTTTGCATGTTCATTCTATTATATGGTTCGGGTCTATTTGTGTTTCTATTGTTGTTATATTTTATAATCCATAATATTACTAAGTGGTGTGCGAATTGCTTGAACGATAGAACGCATCGTATCTGGTTTAATGATGTTTTGTATTTTTTTTGTTTGACGTTAAGTTGCTATGCTTGTTGTCTATTGGTACGGATAAATTATTTAAAGTACAAGGAATTATTTGGTGACCACACAACTATAATGCCAATGAGGGTAGTGTGATTGGTTAGTCAAATGTGGCAAACCCTTCATTTGAGCGAAAGTATTAAAGAAAAGTATGAAATACGGGCATCCAATAAAATTTCCTTGTCATGTGTTATCATTGGCATAATCGACCCCTCACATTGTGTATTTTGCCGCTTGATTTTCCGTAGATCATTGCAAATTCTCCGAATTTTTTGGCGATGCTTGGCATTTCGATACACGTGACTCATCATTCTTGGCACCAAGACAATTTCCAATACGGCAAAGTGTCAACTGCTACATTGTTTACGATTCTGTTACTTGCCTATTCAGATTATTGCACTTTTAATTAATACTATTACTATGTCTGACCGATCAACAATCCCATCTTGCATAACCTACCCCAACAAATATGTTATCTCGATAAGCTTACCAGCAAGCAGTATCAAGTAGGACAATACAATCTCACGTGCGCAGGTTCGCCTACCTTATCTCAAGTATGTTTTATTCCCAGCCGTAGCTTCTTTAATGCTGTGACCTTTTTTTCCTTCCTGCCGCGAGTTGCCAAGGATAGACAAATTGACGAATTATGACTTAGCTTTTGATATCAAATTAATCCGTAGCTAATGTCATCATTCAGTGGTAAGTCAATTGTTGCAGCAAAGAAAAAAGGAAGAATCTCAGCAGATGGAGTTCTTGGCACTCGTAAGAATTTAATGGTATGTTAATTCAAGATTTGCTTGGCGCGAACTATATTCGAACAGAAAGGTAACGGAAAACTCTCGAGAGAAAATTTATTTCGGTTTCTAACAAATGCCAAGCACAAATAATCGCTTATGGTAATGTATAATTTCATTGTCTTATTTGATTTGACGATCCGCCAAGACTAATAGGTTGCAAACGTGCTAATTACAGTAATTTTGGTGAGGTTTAGCCAATCACCCGCCTTTGGCTTGGCCCTGACGTCCGAGACATATAAAAATGAACCGAGTCGAGATAAAGGCAAGTCAACAGAACTTGTGGGCGCATACAACAAAGATCACATTCTTAATCAAATATACCAAGGAAATACCTAAAACATCGGACATTTTATAAATAAAATTCACTCGGAATACTTTTCACATACCTTCTGAAATAATACACTTTCGAATTCCAACCAACCATGTCTGTAACAACACCCCCCTCAGACAGCCCAAGCGCCCTGCACAATCCCTCAGAACTAATTTGTCTCTGGAAACAATGCCATCTCAAATTCGAAGATCCCGAACTACTCTACCACCATCTGTCTAACGATCATGTTGGGAGGAAGGCAACTGGAAACTTGTGTTTGGAATGCCATTGGGAAAAATGCGAGGTCAAAACGGGAAAAAGAGACCACATTACAAGCCATTTGAGAGTACATGTGCCGTTGAAACCGCATGTTTGTGAGGTTAGTAAGAGATAACAACGGCTCATACGTAAACAGTATATATGACATGTATATAGATAAATGTAAATAGCTAGACTTGTTATACTAATTGGCGACGGAACTATACGTTTGGCTTTCTGCCGGTCGCAAGATAGATTAAAAAGTCCCGACAGTGGATACAATCAGGATTGTTTTTTCTCATTTCGATTGTTTCCACTTTTTTTTTAGACATGTAATAAAGCCTTTAAACGACGACAAGATCTTAAAAAGCACGAAAAGATCCACACAGAACAACACCAACAACTAATAAGCGACCACAAGCATCAACGTCTGCAGAAAACGAGTCATCCACCACAAACACCTCCACAATATCCTCCAGACAGGTCGCCGTCGGTGTGCTCCTCTATTGAATCACAGTCTAGCTTCCCATTGAGTCCAAACAGAGTTGTTCCTGGTAAGTTGAAGTGGAGAGGCGTCTTGACATGGGAAACCTTTATTGTCATGGTAGTCAACGTGTGAATACTTGTAACGTGCGATAATTAGCACGCCTTGTTATATATGCAATGTCATATTTCTCATAATTAATCAATTTCTTGCACGTTTCCTTTCTACGTGTACAGGATTCTTCAATACTACTCCACCGCACGACAATAGTTACGATAACTATGACGTCTATCCCAACTATGACAACTACGACATGTCGAGCCCGACTGTGATTCCCGAATTTGCTAATTATAACAACGTCAAGCGTCCCGACGTTTCCGCTAATAACACTTACGTACCCGCTTCTAACAAGCGTAATATCGACGCAATAGATGAATTTTATCTGGACGTCAAGAGAAAGCGGATGGAGCCAGTTTATAATCAAGGTAAATTGACAGAACATCGTAACTCGAAGAACTGTCGATGATACGAGTTTGGAATCTGTTGAATGAATCCTACATATTGCAGCCAAATGACGTTGTAAAAAAAAACATGTTTGTGTGTGGAGAGCAGAATAGTCAATGCTAAGGAGGGACTGGTTTTATAGGAATTGATAGTATTCAACCATTCAGTGAGAACCATTTTCGCCTGATGAGATTAGCTTGAGACTTTTATACATATATATATACATCCGCATACATAATACATACGAATATACGTATATACATATCCACACACACATACCACACAACACACACATACACGCATCCCCCCCTCCCCACGCACCCACGCGCCCACGCACATTTATTTATATATACATAGTATAATATTGTTCTTCTGCTTTCAAAAAGTGTCATCCATAGCAGTTAATATACGCCCGTTTGGGAAACACTTTTAAATTTAGTCTATTCTACTTATCTTTAGCCTGTTATTTGTAGTATAGTAACAAGCGTCAACTTATTATTGTGCGCTTTGTTTCAATAGTTTCGTTGAATTTGGCAATTGATTGACTTATATAAAGTATCGACACTTCTTCAAAAAAAACCCCAAAACCATCCTCCGTCCGCAATCTATCTCTGCTCTCCAATCGACCATGTCATTTTATTCATAACTGATTTCTTTGTCTCTATCTAATAATCAAATTTGTACCTTTTCCCCCCTCCATTATCACCTCCTATAGCGATGGCTGATAGACTTGAAGCATTTATAGACGTCGCTGATCTCAGTTCCACAACGTTGAATTCTTTCACCAGAAGTGATTTTCAAACCATGGAAACCTTTTTGGTACAATTATCTGGGGGTGTTTTGCCGTATATCGACGATGCTGGCATCACAGGTGGATTATCTACACCTGATTCAACTGCATTCGATGTAGGACTAACATTGGGTAGTGACATGTTACCTTCAGATTCGGTCATGTATCCTACATTGGGATACCCGAGTGATGCTGTTCATACGCCAGAGAGTTTACACGAAGATGATGAGACACCGATTGTGCCAAGCACTCATATGACTAATGTTACAATCAATCCAAATGATCTTGATGACAAGACATATTTGAATGGTCTGATGAGCCCACCTGAAGAGACCCACGAGTATGTGCCACAGGGACTTGATGAACCGAATTTCAATACGATATATCCAACAATGGCAAGCATTGTATTCGACACTTCGGCTCCGGCCGCTTCGAGCTCTGAAACGATTCGAATTATGAAAATGCCAAACCCAACAGTCGTGACAGATGCTTATATGAATTACTCTGTTACTGACATAACACAAGTACAATGTTCCAATCCATCATCAAGATCGGAAGCAAAGAAAATTATTACACCAACTCCTAAACGTGGTGGATTTACCGGACTCGATGGCAAAGATAAAAAATCGATTGCCTCGCCTGATATTAGCGATAGAACAAACTCCAAGTTTGTTAGCGTTACAAAAATTGACGATAAAAAGGGTGACGTCGATGCGTTGAGTTCAAAGATTGCGAAATTGAATTTGGAAGACAAGAAGAGCAGCCATGAAAGGAAATTGGATGCAGAGATGAGAAAGAAGCATGCTGCTTTGATTTATGCGCTATATCAAAAGATCCACAAATTGTATATTGAAATGGAGGAGAAGGAGAAGATTGCGGTGAATAAGGAAGAAACCCGAGCAAGAGATTTTGTCGTTGTTGAATGAGAATGTAGTAATTGACTTGTGGTAATATTTGAGTGCACTCTAATATTTCAGCAAAAATATTATTGGTAATGAGAAGGACAATCTGGGAACGTAAAAACAGTTATTGACTGAGTCTTTGACTAATCAATCAATCGATTATTTACTTTTCTTTTTTATGTATATTGACAACATATATATATATACACACTTTTTTTATACGCGTATAGAATTTGAATAAAAAAAACTTACACACGAAAAATATGTTGCCGTCGAGAATGTCACGTGTAAATTTACCAATTTCAATGCTGCAAAATTACTGTTGCGCTTTTCGGACTCACGCCTAAATAGGCAATTATCACTGCCACACTCTGATCGCTATATGCAGTATTGTTACAAAATTCCTAATTTAATCTGATTGTTGTATGAACCTAAAATAATAATAATGACGTATTATATGACTAATATTTCATTGTCAATACAATATTAAATGACTGCATATTGTTTCATGATGTTCTATTGTCCGCTCAAGGGTACTACCATGCTAAAGCTGGTTGAATACTCGGTGGAGAGTTTTTCGAAGATGGCTAAGTTGTGAATTGATCTCCATTAGACTCATTTTCACGTCAGTTCATCAGCACCTCCCCTACCATATTTGGTAACGTTTCGAGTTACTAAATTTGGTAGGGGAAACTCGGGGAGGTAAATTGCCTCCCCCAATCTATTGTCAAATTTGACGAAATACCTATGGTAGGGTATTGATGAGAAAAAGTCAAGTAGTCTTGCACACGGATCGGTAGTGTTAACGTGATTGTACTCTGATGTCATTAGTTCCAGGGGTTAATAATGAATGGATGTTTTCAAGTAACAATTTCTGAGAAAGATTATTCTCGACAATTGTTGCATCGCTTGTGCCACTATTTGTTAAAGTGCAGGACATAGTAACTTATAAATAGTAGATGTATGAAAAATTACCTCCTTAAATGATATAATATATTTTTGTTTTATTACAGAACAGTATGGTTTGTTGGAAAGAGCTTAATGGAAGTATTGGTCATTAACCGAATAAATAAAACGAATATCAAGTTATGAGAAAACCATTTTGTAGATTATTGTCATTCAAAATAAACCCATTTTGTATATATACTGAGATTGTGCTGATATCATATTGCATATCATCACTATCATAGAGATCAGTTTAATTGCGTGGCTTATCGGACTTGTTTAACCAGTGAAAAAATTTTACTGCGTGTGCTCCGGAATGTTACGCTGATTCTATTGTTCTTATTTACGGAAACAATCGGGACAGATGTAATGTGTGTTGCACTAGGCAATATATTGATACGCGTCTACTCATACATATATATATACCCTACCCAGATGCCATCTTCCCATCGAACACGCGTCTACCATTGCACTCACAACAACCTCTCCTCCTCTAAAACGCAAATACAACGAACGTTATCAAGAAGTTAATATACAACGCAACAAACCTTTGCCGCCGCTATTACGCACATACGACACTTTGCTACAACAACTCACGAACAAGTATTCAAACGACACGTTTATCAACCAAAACCGATACTCATATGAACACACGTATATCCACACAGCGTAACAAACCTTCGCTGCCACTCCGTATTGCGCAAATACGACAGCTCCTACAACTCACGGACAAGCCTTTAAAACGACACGCTTATTACGACGTTTACAAGATAATGCTGTTATGCCTTGGAAACAGCGGAGAATGTACACAAACACTTGTTACTGATTTCAAAATTATGGAAATCATACTCCCTGATACGCTGTGGTTTTGGCCCGCTACATGCCCGCTCGTGTTTCTGACAACTCCGTCCATTCGCATACTGTGGAGGTAATGGATGAGATAAAACCTCTCGGTTCTTGCTTCACGCCGACAAATAAGGGGCAAATTCTGCAGTACGCCATCATTGCACTGAGGTATCAGAGGAGTCGGCAAGATATTACAGTTTTTCTGATGGACTGCCATGGCATTATGTTTGTCCGAACTGTCAACGATGAGGATGAAGAGCAGCCGTACAAGGTATACTATTCCGATCAAATGTATATCATAAGTTCATCTCATGAATCAGGCATTGGAGAAAATAGCGGACCAATGCATAAAGACAGTCACGATAAATCAATCACGAACTTTATTGAAATAATTAAGGCTACAAAATCGTGGAAGAAACCCTCTCCCCAAGAGTTTACAAACAGAAATGATGTCTTTTTCTTCATATGCCAGCTGTACGAAGCAACAACTCGCAACGCCGAAACACATTCCGTCTTCAAACTAAGAATATTTTCCTTACGTACCCCGGGCAGATGTCGAAAAAGAGGCTTTACGTGACTATCTCTGCCAAGTTGTTATCTCTCATGATAACGTGGTTGTTTCGTATATTATTGCCAAAGAAAAACATGCCGACGGATCTCCACATCTCCACATCTCCACATCTCCACACTCTACTCAGGATCTTAACACCCGTGATTGCCGCCTTTTTGATTACGAAGGTCGACATCTTAAAAGAGGCGTCCGTTGATTTGATCATGTGATCGCTACGGGAGTGATGATTATTTCGACTGCGGTACCGAACCTATAGCGGACCAATGCATAGAGACAACCATGATAAATCGATCACAAATTTTATTGATATAATCAAGGTTGCAAAATCGCAACATAAGAAGCTCGAGAATAACGTAATAGAGCAATGTGGGAGAAGCCCGATTCCCAAGAGTTTACAAGCGGGAATGATCTCTATTTTCATACCGTGTGTAATTATTTCGACTGCGGTACCGAAATCTCCTCCCCTATCAGTTTTGGCAAAAATAGCAGACCGTTGCAATATCGTTCTTAAGTCTCCTGAAACAACTATCGTGAAGAAGGAGCAGAACAATATAATAGGAAGCTGGTCAATGAATATAACACATCCCAGACCCCAAAAATTAAATAGAACCCGCAATGGTATATCAACAGTATATTTCAATGATAACAGTGTTTACGTTTTATCTGGAGACGAATCAATCGCCTCATCTGTCCCCTCTTCTATCGCGTCACCAACACCAATATCACAAGATAACATCAACATATCAGAGAAGATAGACAGTTTGAATGCGAAAAGGGACAATATACTAATCACCCTCACCACACTCAACGACGATGATCGCAACAACACCGACAACAACAACAACAACCTCTCCTCATCCAATTTACCTAATAAAATGTCTTAAGGGTATTCTAAAATGCGCTAATGACATTATCGATATCATGAGAAAAACAACCAGCACAGATAGTAACGACTTTGTAAATCGCCCTGCGTTTAGCATACATGGACCCCAGATGTAACCCATTGCATTCACTCCATGTTATAAATGGAGATTTATACGATACGGAATCTGGGATTGGGCTTCTGAGATACTGCCCACAAAAGACGAAAATGTTGTTTATTTTTCGTTCAAAACATATTGTAGCACGAGTCGGAAGAATGATAAACGTTCTTGTAAAAAAAGCCAAGGTGTCCAAACATAAATCACCTGAAGGGCTTTCACCAAGATCCGTAAAATTAAATCAACTGCAAACACCACAGAAGAAGTCAAATCGGCAAGATTACGATAATTTATCAACATCTCCAACCGCATTGTTACAGTTGCTGGCACTAGCGCTATTTTCATTTCCCATGCCTTGCATCCTAACCGCCACTGTCAATGAAACAACCATCTCTGGAAGATGTTATGACTATGGCATTGGAGTGCCAAAAGACGATGCTATTATTATCCGATGTTATTAGCATTCAGCTCCTTGCCAAGTAATGTGGAGCACGAGGCGTTTCTGGATTGTGCAATCTTTTATGAAAGGTTGCTGAAAAAATGCTATTGTAACACGGAATTTCATTGTTACGTACAATGATTTGTGCGCGGCGGCAATGGAATAACGATGGATTCAACAATACCCCAGTTGCAAATTGCCGAAATGGTGTGGGAATTTTTCAAATTCTTCTGCTACAAAAATGTCTTTTATCAACCTTCCTCCTCGGCGATGTCGAAACAAACGTCTACCAAGAGGAGGTGGAATATCTCTTGGAGATATGTGTTTCCGTTCACACGACGGAAACAGGGAAACATTTCTCGATTCACTTTTCGAGGATACTTAGAAAAAGGAAGCCAGTGCGATATGCTGAGAGACCAAAGCAGAATCAGGAACAGTTACAGATGTCTCTGCTTTAAAACACCAAAAAAAAAAAAAAAGAAGAAAGTGATACAACACAAAAAATAGCATACTTGCATGACTATAAGGAGTCTACGGCTATACTATAAATCCAGTGGAAATTTAAAAGCAAAAACCAGCAAGCAAATGTTACCACAAGTATGACAGAAGCTGTGAATGAGCAATCAAGAGCATCTATCACTAATCAGATTTTACATCACATGTTTGTTTTAGTGATTATGTCGATTGTGCTAATTCCACGAAAAGTGATCAAATACACGACAAGTTGTGAGCAGCAAAATGATCGTTATCCACTGTGTTCGATTTATTTAGTAGATTCATGTAGATCATTTTGCAATTCTAATATTACGCTAAGTCCGATTTATTATTTATATTTTATTGGATATAAAATACTGCGGTAGTTAGAAATTAGTTATAAAAACGACCTTTCCTCACAGCTGAAAATATTAAGCCGTTTGGTTCAAGCCGTTTGGCTAAAAGTTTAATTAAATGAGTTTCTAACTCTTGTTCTCAAATAAAAATCCAATTACCGATAAAACGAGATCCAACCGTCCCCAATTGTAAATAAACATGATTTACCCTGCATAACGTCCCTGAAAATCGACGATCGACATCGATATATGGATTTAATGC